AACACATGTGTTGAGGGCAAGAAACAGAAGAAATGTGAATCGTCTTCTGCTAATCGTCTTCTTGTAACCAATTTCCAGGCTTTTCGCTTATATAGTAGGTGAATCCACACAGGTATTTAAACAATCTCTTTCAACACACTTAGGTGGTGGCAATGGGCCCGGCAGCCTTCCCCGCCTATCGAACCAGGCCAGAACAGCCAATGCCTGGACCACCAACTATGCCCCTGGGCTCGAGCTTGAAGTATAGGCCTGGTGTTCAATCTAGGCCAGGGGTCGTGGCCTAGCCTTTTCTGAGTTTTTTTTTGCTTTAGAAATAAACAAATAATGTATACGCCCAAGGCCCCGTTGGACCCCATTAACAAAATCGGCCTAGCCAATTTAGCTCAAGAGTAGGGTCAGGCCTGGGCTTGGACCCCTTTAGCCCGGTCTACATTAGGACAGCCCTAGAGAGCCCCAGACCGGCCCGTATCGGCCCCGCCCCGTGCATTGCCATCCTTACTAGTTGAACCTAGTTTACAATATTAAAAGAATAGATGCCCATAGAAATGACCAACATCCTTTTTCTCCTGTCTATGGTGTATAACATCACTCGCATCAAATTTTGACCTTATTAGACTTTTCCTACTAGTTTTTTAAGGCTCAATTTGTATTTTCCTAAACGATGAACACAAAACTCTGAAAATTAGTAGTATATTTTCTCTTAAAAGCCACATGACTTCACATAATAATAAATTTACAGTGCAAAATGCAATATATGACCATGCACATGGGAACAAACAAAAAAACAGCAGACATGGCGCCTACGCAAGGTGCACAGTGTCATGATAATAATCCAAGCAGATTGTAAGCAAAAATATATGAGGTAGAAAGGCACAATGAAAAACCTTACCACGAGGCCTATCCAAAAATCCTACAAACCAATGTCCACAAGAGAGCATGAATAAAGAAAAAAAAAAAAAGTGAAAATGAAAAGGATATATATATATATATATATATATTTAATTTTAATTTAAATCACATTAAATTTTAAGCGTCTATTATTACATCAAGGTACACCTAATAAAATATTTAAAAAATAATTCATCAAATATAAATTGACCTGAAAATTTTCAAGCGTATTATAGTCAATTTATTTTTCAAAAAATATTTTTTTGATATTTTTATTGGATTCTCTTATTTTTAAAGAACACACATCCAAAATTTCAAGTGATTTGGATTTATAGAAAAAAAAATTCAAATATAAAATATAATCATGATCATTAGATCTACCTAAATTGACTCTAAGCCGTTGCGCTCATATGTAGCTGTAGGCTTATGGACCTACGCCAGTATTTTCATATATATATAGGAAGATACTACAAAATGCCTATAGGCGAAAATGAACAGTGATTTTGCCTACCGTCATCACCATCCAAACTTCATCGCACGGTCACAGTTGTCTGGTAGTGTTTCATTTTTCATTTTTTTTTTCATAATCGAAATGACCTGAAATTTGGAGCGTGTGTACATCTTAGTGAGGCGTACCTAATAAAAATATGAAAACAATAATTCGT